CAAACAAACAATCAAATCAAAAAATGAAAGGTAGCAGAAGAAGAATAAATCTTATAATGTCTGCCCTTTAACCCCAGAATATATTCAAACAAAATATAATTTACAAAACAATACGTTTTCAGTAAAGTTTTCTAAAGACCAAATATATTTCTTATAGTATTTATTCTCCAGTTTAAACATGAACTTGCACAAAAGTACATAATATCTTTCAAATAGCCATTTTCAAATACCGGTAGACAATTTCATACCACTACCACAAGATGGCAGTAATGCATCAAGGCATTTAGCAAAAGCGGTGGTGCTTTTTCACACAACTATTTATTTGGCCTAACGTTGGTCATTAAAATGTGATTTGATGATTTTGTCTCTGTTTTTGTGATCAGATTATTGTTTAAGAAAGATTACAAAAATCAAGACTAACTTGCTTTTAAACACAAGTACAAAAATAAACAATAATCCTGAACAGTCGGTGAGATTAGCTAGATAAACATGCTAAATTTGTACCAGTGTTTCCTTCTCTCACAATTTCACTAAGTTCAGAGTTTTGTTAATTACATTTTTTAGCAAAAACAAACAAAAAAAAAAGGATGTTACACTGGCGTTTTTTGAGCTGCGTTAATAACAACATCATATCCCTAATGGGAATGAGGGCAAAATAAACATGCATGGTGGGATCGTGTGAAGTACTGTCTGAGTTGGAGAACCTGTTGTATTTACGTTTTCACTTTGGTTTTATTACCTTTTTTATTGTTGTGTTATTGACATTTTCTCTGTAAAGCATTTTAATCAGCTATGGTTGTTTTTAAATGTGTTAAAGAAATAAGAAATTGACAGAAAAAGTAATTATTGGCTACAGTACACTTCTTAGTTGTAGTTGATTAAGTATACACAGGCATGGCTGATTGCTGATTAAAAAAAAGTTGCCAATAGCTGATTAAAATCAGTCAGCTGATTATAATTAGCCGTCTGATTAATCAGACGGTCTTTAATCCTTAGTGAAAAGGCCACTCAAGCACTGACACATCACCTCTCATTTTCTGTTTCAGGAGACCCACACCGTACGGGAATCAGACAGATTACCGGATATATGAGCTGAATAAAAGATTACAGAACTGGACAGAAGTGAGTAGTTCTCTTTAAATCACAGAGTGTCTATAAATAAAGATACCGGTGCTTCCTCCTGGCTTCAAGCTGTTGATGTGCAAAACCACAGAATCAATCTTTTTCATTTTAAATACTGCTGTCTTACCAGATGCAGTCGTCATGTTTTCAGATTTCTTTCCTCGGTGGGGAAACTTACAAACTTACTACTGTACTTCTTAGACCATTTGCAAACATATTAGTTTGACATAAATCTTACAAAATATAATTTGTTAAAGGAGGAGTAAACCAGTCAGACAATGCTTTGAGTCAGTCGCTACTCTATAAATATACTTACAGTAGTTTTCCACCCTTATTGGCCAAGGAGGCGACCTCGGAGTAGCTTTAAAGTTTAGCAACCCTTAAGGCAGCAAAAACATTCCTGTGTACYTTTTAAAATATAGTGGGGATTTTTTTTCCCTGTGTTAATATTTTGTCTGCTTTTGTAGTTGCAAATAAAACCCCAACAAGAAACAAACATAACAATGATCAGATAGAGAGATTTGTGTTTATTTGCCTACGTTGTTGAGAGGAACAGTAGAAAAGTTAAAGGTGAATGCTGTGAAGAAACGTATTGTCACTTCCTTTTTTTAAAGCTGCAGTATTTTAATTAGTTTGTCATGAAAAGTTCTGTATTTCTTCCTAATTACTCCCTGAAAAAYGCATATTTTTACTGTTCAGCTCAGCGTAAATATAAGTAATATTTTTTGTTCTGCTTTTAGGACTGTGATAATATTTGGTGGGATGCCTTCACCACAGAGTTTTTTGAGGATGATGCTATGCTCACCATCACTTTCTGTCTGGAAGACGGCCCCAAACGATACAGTGAGGATGAAGTTTATGCAGCTTATTTGCAGTTTGTTTGCACTTTTTCTGAGTGCAGTTTTTACCTCTTTGTTTGCAGCGATCGGCCGRACGTTGATTCCTCGATATTTCAGAAGTATTTTTGAAGGAGGAGCGACTGAGTTGTTTTATGTTTTGAAGCATCCAAAGGAGTCTTTCCATAGTAACTTTGTGTCCCTCGACTGTGATCAGTGCACCATGGTGACTCAGAACGGCAAACCTATGTTCACACAGGTAGCTATTCTAAAGTCACGTCAAATTAAAAAGAGGCGCACACCGTGTTAGCCACTTAACCCTTACTTCCTGATTATTCCCGTTAGGTTTGTGTTGAGGGTCGTCTGTACCTCGAATTCATGTTTGATGACATGATGAGGATCAAGACGTGGCACTTCAGCATCAGACAACACAGAGAGGTCCTACCAAGGAGCATTTTGGCTATGCATGTGAGTGTTGGGGTAAAACAACAACAAAAATAAATGACACAGACACAATTTATTTATTAGTTTTGCTTTCTCATCTCATCACCCAGGACCCCCAGATGCTCGATCAGCTGGCGAAAAATATCACCAGATGTGGGCTGTCCAATTCCACGCTCAACTACCTCCGTGTAAGGAAGTTTTCCCCTGATTGTGTCATACATTTTCTTTTAAGTTAGAATTYATTTAAAACTAACCGTAACCTCTCTTTGTTTTTCTTGATGCATTTTCCCTGCAGCTATGTGTGATTTTGGAGCCAATGCAGGAGTTGATGTCCAGACATAAAACCTACAGTTTGAGCCCCAGGGACTGTTTGAAAACCTGTCTTTTCCAGAAGTGGCAGAGGATGGTAGCCCCTCCAGGTTAGCTTGTTCTCTTAAAGGGATCCATGATTAGTTGTAACATTAGACTTTATTTGATAAACATTTATTTTAACTGTAAAATAAAGACTGTAAAATACTGTAGGCTGTTTTAGTTTTTATGATTTTTAACTAAAATTTTAAAAATATATTACACGGACGGGGCCATTTTATTTACACACAAAGCATTCTGGGAAATGATGACGTGGATAGGTCCTCGGTGTGAGCAAGCTATATCCACCCTGAAGGTTAATCTTGGACAATATCTGACAATTGGCTCTTTTAAATGAAACCAAAGAGCGTTGACAGAGAGGAGAAGGTAGAAATGACTCAGCCTGTAACTGAAAATATGGATGGAGGACAACAGAGCTGCTTCATGGAAGAAGAACCTCAGCTTAGCCTGTTAGCTTTAGCGTTAGCCCTGACGCTATCACCATATATATGTATTAGCTCAGCGCTACAGATTCTCCTCTCATCACTGAGGTCCACCTCCACGACAGAGAGGAACACAAGAACGACTCAGGCTGCAACTGAAAATATGGATGGAGGACCTCAGTTTAGCTTGTTTGTCGTGCTAGCGCCGAGCTAATACATATAAGGCAATGTAGTGTTGGCGCTAGCACAAAGGCTAGCAGGCTAAGTTGAGGTTTTTTCTTCCATGAAGCAGCTCTGTTGTCCTCCATCCATATTTTCAGTTACAGGCTGAGTCATTTCTACCTTCTCCTCTCTGTCAACGCTCTCTGGTTTCATTTAAAARAGYYGATCATCAGATATTGTCCAAGATTAACCTTCAGGGTGGATATAGCTCGCTCACACCGAGGACCTATCCACGTCATCATTTACCCAGAATGCTTTGCGTGTAAATAAAATGGCTCTGTCTGTGTTAAAATATATATTTTTAAAAATTACAAAAAATTACAAAACTGAACAGCCTACAGTATTTTTACAGTTAAAATATGTTTATCAAATAAAGTCTAATGTTACAACTAATCGTGGTTCCCTTTCAATCTGTGGAGCCTGATATAAGCGCCATCTCATAATAATTTAAATTTCTGATATAGAGATGAACTAGAAACCACCTATTTCAACACTCGTACTCCGAACGTATATTTAATCCTCTGTTTTTTTGTTAATTTGTAGCTGAACCTGCCAGACAAGCTCCAAACAAGCGGCGGAAAAGGAAGGTGTCCGGTGGAAGCACGGTGAGCTCCGGCGGAGGCGGCAATAACAACAGCAACAGCAAAAAGAAGAGTCCAGCCAACAGCTTTTCCCTCTCCAGCCAGGTACCTGTAAGCATTACACATACTTGACCAGTGTCTGCAACTGCAGCAGAGCAGGGGCAAAGGTGACAAGGAGCAGGTTGAGCGGTTGAAAAGAGGGATGAGGAAGTTAAGAATGTATTTGTGGTGTAGTGGGTGGAGGGGGCTGTGTGTTTTGGAGGTACAGATGGAAATATTTGAGAAGGTTTTTCAGGTTTAGATTCAGACAGAGTTGGGGTGGGGTCTTAATTTCTGCAATTCTATGCAGAATAAGTTGATTTAAGTTGTTTTGAGTGACCTGTCTGTTTCAGTAGTGTAATAATTTGTGTGCATAAGGTAGAGTTRGCTTGTTCTGCTTTCCTCTTGGACATTTGGCACTCCTGCACCGACTTAGCATTGAGTTGCACTTCACACAGCCCCGCCGTTTATTTTTATTTTATTTTTATTTATTTATTTTTTGCTCACTTGGTTGCTTGATTGAGCGAACGAGACCCGAGGTGGAATGAACCCCCACCCTCCCCGCTGTGATTCAGCACTCGAGGATCAGGGATACCTCAGCCCTGGTTCTTCAAACACTGCAGGGATTCAGGGCGACATACCGAGCAGTCAGGATAGATGCCCTGACAACGTGKTTTCTTGTTGTTAATGGGTTTATTAAACTTTGCTTGTATTTCTAATGTATTTTATTTAGTAAGCTCAATTCAAGGCGATGACGTTGAACTCAGAAAGGCCATTAAAACAATAGACTTTCCACACACCCCCCTGTATTGCGGGGATAATGTGTACCGGCCCTTGCTGTCCCCTTTAGGATGTGATGATGGTGGGAGAGCCCACACTGATGGGAGGGGAGTTTGGTGACGAAGACGAGCGTCTGATCACGCGGCTGGAGAACACGCAGTACGATGGGGCGAATGGCCTGGACGATGAGGACAGTTTCACCAGCTCGCCTGCGCTGGGGGCACACTCGCCCTGGAACAACAAGGCTCCCTCCAGTCAGGAGAGCAAGAATGACAACTCCCAGTCCTCCCAGTAGAGGGGCAAAGCCAATTAAAAAAAAATTTAAAAACTGACTGGAGCCCCGACACATGAGCAAGCGGAGTTAGAGATCAACGTTTAGCACTTGTCTTGAATCAAAAACAAAAGTTTAGTTTTAAAGCAGAGACATGCTAGCTGATGGGACTCGCTGCTGTAACATGAAGGGAAGCGCCGACGAATCCCACTCTCGTTCCTGCACACGGTTGCACATAATCAGTGGTGCTCAGCCTCTGCCCTTTGCTGCTTTGGCTCCTGTTAGAACTCTTAAAGCAGCGGTGGCTGTGGGTTTGCCTTGTCGCCACAGATCACAGCTGGAGCTGGCATGTTCCGAGCGCTCGCCATCGCGATCATGTCAGTGGGTTCTTGTTCCAACCTCGGGTCTCTAAGCTCGTGCGTTTCTTTCTTTCTTTCTTTTCTTTTTCTTGACAACGTACCTCCCCACTGTTTCTGCTCTGTCCGTGTCACCGGGAAGAAATGCTCTCGCTTTTATTTTTGACTTAAAAGTGTGTGCACTTAAAGACGTTTTTTTTTTTTAAACTCAATGATTTGTTTTTGTAGGACCTGGTTGGAACAAAAACCTGTACAGTGCCGGAGCTTGAGGACCGGAGTTGAGAACCACTACGCAAAAATCTTAAATGCAGACACACACTCACACACAGACACACACACACACATACACACTCACCCAACAAACACTGTCATCTACGTCTGTGGCACAAAACAGTGAAGTGCAGGAGGGAGGTGGGACGCAGCGTGTCTGGACAAAACGCACCAGGCGCCACAGAAGTGTTTTTATTTTCTGTTTTAAACTTGTTTTTTTATGTAAAGTATTTGTAAAAATAGACAAGTAAACAATAACACCCCAGAATATTCTTTGCACTGTTTTTCCACTAATAACGGCAATCTATTTTTCTTATAAAATTGACCTGTATTGTTTTTTTTGTTGTTTTTTTTATATATATATTATTGCTTCTGTAAGTGTAAAACATCTGAGACCTGCAGTATATTAATGTCTAAGTATTGCTGTTAGATCATTCTTATTGTGATGTAATAACTCCTGTAAGCCTCTGCTTGGTATATCATCAGACATCACTGTTGGCAGGCTCACTGGTCTCAAAACAAGTGAGAGAAAACACAGACCGTGTTTTTACTATTTACTACATCTTATTTGATGCGAGTCTAAAGCAGTTTTTCTTCTAATTCTCCATCCGTTTTATCATAAAAGAACTGTTTGCTTTGAATTCTTTTCTCTTCTGAAAAATCTAGCAACAGAAATCTTGAATTTGCTACTCAAATATATTTTAAAAACAAGTTTTAACTGGATTGTAAAATAGGGAGGGGAAAAAAAAAACTTTTATAAGAACTTAAAGCTTTCCAAATGTGTTTTAAAAATTCCAATAGAGTAAGCTGCAGACCAAGACATGTAAAGACTTATACTGATTCCACTGCGCTGTTTTCTCTTTTCTGATGAATCATTTCATTGGCTTTACTCCTCATGTTTGTGTCTGTTCTTGTATATTTTTTAGGTAGTCATTTCTGTAAGAGTTAATCTATGTAATCTTCCCTTGAACTATGGAAAACTCAATCTAATGTAAAGAGAAAACAAACAAACAAAAAAAACTAGTAATTTTTTTTAAAACATGATTTATGGTACAATCACTGAAAGAATTTTACCTTCATTTTAGCAAACTATTTATTTTTCTATGTACTGATGTTCTGTTTAGGTCCACCTGTACAAAACTCATGAGGATATTATTCGTCATGTGGAGGAATTTGTGGGGCTGCTGAGTCAGTTAATGCTAAAAGAAGTGATTCTTTTTTTTTGTTTTTAAATAAAGCATCATTCATGCTGTTGCTTTCTCACTAAGGAGATATTTAATCATCGTTTGTACTGTAATTTTCTCTTCTGTTGTTGAAAATCCCATTTTAAAGCAAAAGGATTTTTTCCCCCCACACAAATTCTGTACATGATGCATGTACATCTTTACAGTAGCAGCTGTATGTAAAAAAAATGCATTAATTTGTCGACTCTAAGCTACCGCCACAGTTCATTGAAATGGACTCGGCGTCACTCGGCTGACATTCATKTGCAGATTCTCCCAGCAGGGGTCTCTCTCAGCGCCAGACTGAGCAGCTCGTCAGAAATTCCTTCATTAATGTCTGGCAGAAATGCCATCTGTAAATCCACACTGAGCTGCAAATCTGTGGTTTAAATCCCCTCGTCATTGTCTCCAGCACCCTCTTAGTGCTTAACTTTTGTGGTGTATCAGTTCAGCGGGCGGACAGAGAACAGAATCCAGGGTCAACTTATCAACACCCTGTGTTTTTTAGGTTGACACATTATAAGAAATATAAGGGTGTGTGAGACACAGAGAGAAAAACACACCTGTAGCTGGTTTCCTGTAGCACCTTGTCACAGGGGTGGTTTTATATAGATTTCTTTGCCAGGTTTCTGTCATTGATAATTCATGTATGTTATCAATAAAGATGAATTTTCACTGAAAGTCTCTCTCCAGTGTAAAATGGGGATTTTTATTTTATTTATTTTTTCCAGTATGTATCTTATTGGTACTCACATGAAATTAGGTATGAATCAAGACATCGGTCTTTTTTATTTTTTACGTTAAAAACCTTAAAAAATTCTTAAACTGTCTATGTAAAAGACATGCTGGCTGTCAGCATTAAAACCATTTGTAGCGTTAGGTATTTTGTTGTGTTTAAACAAAGGCATTWTTAAATAACCACAGTGGTAACATCTCAGAGCAGGTAAGTAATATAAGAACAGAGGCTAAGTATTACACATTTACAGTATAATTTTGTGGTCTCAACAATGGATTTTGATGAACGTTTTATTAAAAAAGTAATTTCCTTTTTCTGCACATGATTGAGATTACAGTCAACTCCTCACCCCCATCCAATTTATCAAACTAGAAATTATTACAAACAATACTTACTTATGCATTTTACTTGGACCATTGTACATTTAATATTGAAGAATGTTACAATATTTCAGAGAAACTTAATTTTTTCAAATTAATAGTAATAGTAGGATGACTTTTTAATAAAAGCTTTAAAATAGTTGGCTTACAAAATTAAACATGAAATAACAGCAAAAACCCAACAACTTTTGTCTTAATCAACAGCTACTTTCCTAAATACTGTATAACATACATTAGGGGATATTTATGTCTTTCCAATTTTTTGATGAGGAACATAATTTTGAATTTTTTTCAGTAATTTTTGATGCAGTTTTACRCAGACTAYTGWACCTCTGCCCACCTTTACTTCTGAGAAATTCAGACTGYCTAAAAACTCGCATCTTTTACACCTTAACAGTCAGGCTTTAGGCAGCACGTTCAGGACAGGAAACCACACATCCCTCTCGTCGGTGACGCTCTCCAGCTCCTGAGAAACCTGAGGCGTTTCCAGATCAGAAGGTACACAAATCCAGCGAGTTCTGGGTCTACCAGGGGTCTCATACCAGTTGGACATTTCAGGTAACCTTCAAAGGGAGGCATCCTAATCAGATGCCCAAACCACCTCAGCGGATTAATTTTCGATGCAAAGGACCAGCAGCTCTACTCTGAGCTCCCGCTGGATGACAGAGCTCCTCATCTCACCCAGCCACCCTATGAAGAAAGCTCATTTTGATCACTTATATCCTGTGAAATTGCAAAATGTGATGTTGTAATGTTAGGCTTATGACATTTTTCTCAGTCAGCATGCGTTAAGCACATCTGTTGCATAACACTACAAATAGGGAAGATGACCTTTGTTTGCTATTGAAGGAAAACAGGACCCCAGAGAATTTCACCAGAACTGATCCTGACTAATAGGCAAACTAACCCCACCAAGGCAAGTTGATGCTGTCACTTGGCTTGAATGATGTTTACTGACTTTATCATTCGACACTATTGTTCACCCCAACAGTTCTTTCACAAACAGAGTCAGCCATGGCTCAATATCTCACGGTGTAACTGTATTTCCTGATCGGCAGACCACAAACACGGGAGCCCCGCAAGGATGTGTGCTGAGCCCCCTCCTCTTCACACACAACTCCAACCTCTTTCCTCAAATTCGCAGATGTCATGACGGTAGTTTGTTTCATCAGAAACGGCAACGAGACCAACTGCAGTGATTTAGATTTTTTTTGTATTTTTAGCACATACTTTACGGAAATTGACAAAAAAGCTGGACTTTATTTGAGTTGACTCAGATTTGGCATGCAACCAGGTGATGACCTAAACTTGGGATCGTGGGGAATTTTCTGATTGCGTAACTACTGTTTATCTACGTATGATACAGTAGTGACTGAATGCATCACCTTGTGATCCTTCTCCCCGTGCAGAAACTTTGTTCAGGGTGAAACCTATCTAATACTTGTTCTTTACGACCAATAAATTGAGAGCATTGCCTTTCGACTCAACTCTTTCTTCACCGCGAATGACCAAAGCAACTCCCACAATACTGAGGCCAAGACCCCAATCTATTGATTCATCTCCAACTCCATCCACTCATGAAAAAGACGCCCAGATACTTACACTCTCTCTCTCTCTCTAAAATGTTATTTTTACACCCAGTCCTCTGGCTGATCTGTTGCCAGTGTTCCATTGTGAATAAAATACAGGTTTCWGCAATTTGCAAGTCATCGCATTCTGCTTTTGCTTACATTTTACACAATGTTCCAGCTTTGTCAGTATGTCGTGAGTATACACAAAGGATCACCACTTCCTAAAAGAAGTAGAGTTCTCTCCTAAAGACGGCATGTTTAGGGTACTGATTGTATCGTGGCATGGTACGGCTGTGGTGGTTTTCACGTGCCAAAGCTTCTTGTTAAATGTTCTTTTGGTAGCTTAAAGGTTTATCTTGTAACTGAAGACACAGAGCTGAGGTAAACCATGCCTGAGAAATCAGTGAGCGTGCTCCTGATAAAGAAAACAAGGCAACAGACACTCTGTCTTCTTTTTCTATCAGATTTCCTCACATCAGATTCCCTCAATTGCTCTGAAAGGTGGATCACAGGCTTCAGAGTCACATTCCTTTGTATGTAAATGTATCTAAACAGTAGTAAAAGTTAAACATTTACCTAAAGGCTCTGTTCCCAAATGCACCGAACCATTCATTAACGAGGCTCATAATTTCATCAAATTAGAGGCTGAAGCTGGTTTGATCAGAGTTGTTCAGGCAGAGGTGCCTGTAATCTTGTTATGACTCRCTCAGCTGCAGGGCCATACTGATAACAAAACACGAGGATGTTTTCCAGCTGTTTCCAATAACTAGCAAGCACACTGAAATATTTCAGATTTTCTTGACAGCCTGAAGATATTTGTGTTTTCACATACTCCTATTCCCTAAAGTTTTCCCTCCCATCTCCTGCATACTTTGGCCAGGGGTTGACGTTTTGAACGGCGTTGCCGTTGCAGCATCGGCTCGCTTTGCATAAACTGGAAAACAACACAATGCTTATTATTTTTTTGTTTGTTTTTTTAGCCAGTAAACAAATTAGTTGCCTGAGGAGAGAGCTGTTAATGTTTCCTTTCCTCTTTTACCTCTATCAGAGGTTGGTAATGCATTAAAATAATGAACAAAATCCACCCTTACTTTTTTGAGGATGTAGGAAATCCCAGTTGCCTGAAGCTGTCAGTCAGTCATCTGCCTCCCAGTCCTCCCTCCCCTCTTTCTCTCTCTCTCCTCCTTCTTGTGTTTGGTGCCAGTAGTGTGCTGGCCAGCAAACAGGCAGTTTCACAACAGGAGCTGTTCGTATCAGGTTCCCTGTGATTCACGAACAGCTGGATCCCAGGTGGGAACAGGAGTCCTTCGCTATTAAACAGAGAACAAAAAGGTGAGCTGACTGTAGGAGAACTGTTACCTTCTCACTGCTTTATTCAAGCCTTTATTTTTTGTTTCTGTTTCTTCTTCTGTCTCAGAGTTGACACCTTGAAGACATGTTTGGACAGATTGGATCCAGAGTCCTGGTAGGTTTAAAATACAGACTTATTATAAACAATGTGTCATTTGTGGCCTTTTTTTTTTAATCTAAAATGTTGGGTCAGAAGAACAACAAAAAAAGTTTTACTGACTGGTAATGAAGGGAGACAACAAGCAAGGTGTGGGATAAACCGTTAATGCAGGTATTTGAGCAGCATTTGTGTGTGTTTTCTTTACAAACACAGCTATGTTTACGTTTTCCTGACTTTTCTTGGAACTTGTAAAAAGAAAAGTCATCACGTCCCGCCCTCCGTGAAAGTCTCTAGAGAAGCGCATTAAGCAGAAACAGTTTTGAATGTAATTGGTGGTCTTAAACAGCAGCATTTTTGCCGTGACGACAAGGAAACCGTTTGTTTTTTATCTTTAATATCCCTCCGCTGAATTACCTCATATGTTCAAGTTCCTTCTTCAACCCCACACTTCCTCTTTTGGTCTTCCTCTCGGTTTCAGGCGCAACCAAACTCCCGCTGACCGGTGAACATGGGGGGGAGGAGTAGGAGATGGAGGGGCAGCGCCGCGGCCTTCAGGGCCGTGATGGGAGCCGTGCTGCTCGGGCTCAGCGTGGCTCGGACGTGTCCGGCGGGGGAGACCCACCAGAACCTCACCCTGCCTTCGTACCTAAACCCGGCGGAGAAGCACCGCGGCGTGGAGTTTATGGCCTCCCTTGTCCAGAGTTTCCTCCAGACGGTCCAGCCAAACGCTTTCCCAACAGGTAGGTGCCATGATGAGTGATGCTCAATATGGGCACAGTTCCCCTAAAGCACTAAGGGGGAACTCATTTCTTGATTAGTGCTTTAGAGCTTTTGCATTTTTTGAATTTGTTAGTGGATTAGCACTTGCTAAATATATGGGCAAAATTTAGAAGCACTAACTGTGAGGTCTTTAAATGTTATCGATCAACATTATTGTTCACAGTTGAGGGTGAAAGCGGTCATACATTTTGTTCATGCCTGTCAGTTATCTACAAGGTCACATGTCAAACTCAAGGCCCGCGGGCCAATTGTGGCCTGCGGGTGACTCCCATTTGGCCCAGCGAGGACGCTAATGCCCCTCTTTCGCTAGTGCCACTTTTTGTAGTGTCGGTACAGTTCGGTGTGGTTCCAAGCCATTTCCATTAGGCCCGGATTCACGGAACCAGCACTTTTTTTTTAGTACCRACTCCGTTGGGGTTCCAAGCGGTCCCAGTCGACATCGTCAGAACACTGTTCGTCACTGGCTACGTTCACACTGCAGGCAAATCCGACCCAAATTTGATTTTTTTGACCCATCTGATCTGACTCGTATCTGATTTTTTTTATGACAGTCTGAACGAGACAAATCCGATTTTTTCAAATCCGACCCAGGCCGTTTCAGTATGTGGTTTTAAATCGGATATATATCTGATGTTTTCAAAGTGACTGCAGTGTGAACGCTCATGTCACATTCATCTGACTTTTTCATCAGGAGGAGGGGGTGAAGGATCGTTGGTTACGTATTGTAACCCCAGATTCTATGAGTGTAAGCGCAGCCCTCTAAGGCTATCGCAGATGGGTAC